TCTTTTTGAGGTAGGGTCTCACTATTTAGTTTTGACTGGCCTCCAGCTCCCTTTGTAGTGATGATCCTCCTTCTTCATCCTCCTGAGTGCTGGGATTGCATTCATGTGCCACCACACCCCACTAAGACTACATTTTGTGTGTGCCTGTGGCCAGCTCAGCCTGCCCTGGGGACGGGGCTGGCATGGCATGTGCTGCTGGGTCGAACCACTGTCCCTGCACTTGCCTAACCTTGCCTAAGCAGGCGCTTTAGTCCACGGAGCTATCTCACTGGGCCCCGTGACTACATATTTTTTAAACGATGTTTATGAGGGAGTATTTGTATGTGTGCACACACATGCACCTGCTCACATAGAAAAATCTGGAAAGAATGAAGGAGGGAGACTAGGCGTGGTAGCACACCCCTATAATCCCAGGGTTTGGGAGGCTGAAAACAGGATCCCTGAGTCCAATCTATGTAGTGAGACCCTGTAGACCCTGTACTGAATACATTAAAATAAAGAACAAAGGAAAGAACGAGGGAGGATGTGGCACATCCCTATAATGCTGGAATGTGTGAAATTCAGGCAGGAAGATTACAAATTTAAGGCCAGCCTGGGAGGCTTAGCAATTAAAGACCCTGTCTAAAAAATAAAAAAGAAGACTGGGAGTATATCTCATTGCCAAGGCCCTGAGTTCAATCTCCATTACTACAAAACATGACAAAATGGGTTTATTTTAAAAGAACAATAAATAAATGCTGCTGTTGCCCCCCTCCTCCACGCTGAAGTTAGGAGCCCTAAAAGGTGGTAGAACCCCTCGAGCTGCTCGAAAATGAGTGAATATTTGTGCCTGGGTCTGCTACACTGCCCACAGTACAGGCAAGCCCACTGAGGCAGGAGGGTTTCTGTGGGCTTGGGTCCCTCACCCCTCCAGGTACTCCCCTGCCCGGCCTGGCTGCTGTGGAGCTGCCACCTGCAGTGGCTCCCGGGCCCCTCTCAGCCCTGTTCCCCACCAGGTTCATCCTCGATGATTCTGCTTTGTACCTGTCGGACAAGTGTGAGGTGGAGACACTGGATCTCCGGCGAGGTGGGCAGTGCCCAGTCCCCAGCACTCCGGTGGGTGGGGGGACAATCCTACCCACAGTCACTCAGGGAGTATGGCCCTGGGTCCTCCCCAACTGCTGGCCTGGCTTCCTGTTTCCCCCACATACACCCACGTCCCCCAGCCACACCAGGACACACCCCAGTTCTGCCCCTTGGAGGTGGCTGCAATGGGCAGACTTGAGTCCAAGGTGGCCATGGGAACCCTGTTCCTCCTCTGTGGCAGATTATGTCTGTGTCCTGGATGTTGACCTCCTGGAGCTAGTGATCAAAACCTGGAAGGGAAGCACGGAGGGCAAACTGGTAAGTGTCTCACTGGGCCAGAGAGCCTGGGGTGGAGGGGTATCAGGGTTACCACCCTTACCTGCTGGGTGGCAAGAGCACCCTATCTGCTGAAAGGCTGAGAGTTTGCTGCCTTGCCACCAGAGGGCAGCTGCAGGCAGAGCATGGCCTCTGGAATGTGACAGCATCTGGGCCCTGGGTTTTCACATTCTGGAAGTGAGATAACAGGCCCTGCCTCTGGGCACAGGAGACCCTGTGGGTTCTGGGTTGGAGGTAGGGGGTGGCCCCCTGTTAAGTCCTCTTTTTTTTTTGGCGGAACCGGGGATTGAACTCAGGCCCTTGCGCTTGCCAGGGAAACACTTATTCTACTGAGCCATCTCCCGGGCCCCACCATTAAGCCCTTGTTCTGAGCTCAGTTTGCATATCTGCAGTGGGGATACCAGGAAGATTCACTTCCCAAACATAGACCTGGCCCACCTGTCTTCAAAGTTCCCTCCAAGGGACAGGGGGCCTACACTCATGCCACCCCCATCTCCACCCTAACAGAGCCAGCCACTGTTTGAGCTGCGCTGCTCCAACAACGTGGTGCACATACACAGCTGTGCTGACTCCTGCGCCCTGCTGGCCAACCTGCTCCAGTACGTAATGAGCGCGGGCGACCTGCATCCCCAGCCCCGGCCCCCCAGCCCCACGGAGATCGCCGGCCAGAAGGTACAGGTGAGGCCTGGCCACAGAGACTACCAGAGCTTGGCCAGGCCCCTCCCCTGCACGCCCTCAGGGCCTGGGGTTGGGGGATCCCTCGGGCTACTGTGCCTTGGAGACAAGGCTTGAACTTATCGCTCTCCACCTCCTGCCCAGCTTTCAGAGAGCCCTGCCTCCCTGCCTTCCTGCCCCCCGGCAGAGACAGCCCTCATCAACCAGAGGGACCTGACTGATGCACTCCTGGATACAGAGCGCAGCCTTCGGGAGCTGACACAGTCCTCAGGTGGGACGGGGGCATTTGGGGGGATAGTTGACATGACACCCTCGACACTGTCTCAAACTGGCCTATCTCCCATAGGTGACCCACTTTCTCAGGCCTCACCTGTCTCTGTCTACCTGTTTCCTGGTGAACGGAGTGGGGCCAAGTCCCCTTCGCCCCCTCCTGGGGGCCCTTCTGACAGCTTAGGGTCCTGCCCTGAGGCCACAGATGATGATAAGGAAGAGGAAGGAGATGGAGACACCCTGGACAGTGACGAGTTCTGTATCCTAGACGCACCTGGCCTGGGCATCCGGGTGCGTGGCAGAGGGGCTGGCTCAAATCCTACCTTCCAGGTGTGGGTTAGGGTGGGGGTGCCAGACTGTTCCATGGTTGATAAGCTCATTTAGGGGTCCCACCACAAGAGAAGCAGGAAAGGGTACCCTCAGCACTGGGCTGTGGAGGAGTATGTGGCCTCCAGAGGAAAGGAGGCCAGAATCCACATTTAAGGGGATGGAAAGGGAAGAGTGCCAGGGAGTCTGGGCTGGGAGTCTGGCCTGGCAGGAGCCAGGGGCTCTGACCACTGACAACAGGTTCTAGGGATGGTAGTCCAAGAGCGCCATCTTCTGTCAAAAACAGCCCACACAGAGGGAGGGATAAGGACAAGGGAGAAACAGGAGGAACTGGGCTGAGACTGTCTCTGTGCCATACATCTTTACAACTCTCTCTGGTCTCCTCCTGGCAGCCCCGAGACGGAGAGCCGGTGGTGACACAGTTGCACCCAGGCCCCATCATTGTGCAGGAGGGACACTTCTCCCGGCCGCTGGGCAGCACAGACCTGCTGCGGGCACCTGCCCACTTCCCAGTGCCCAGCAGCCGTGTGGTGCTACGTGAGGTCTCCCTGGTCTGGCACCTCTACGGGGGCCGAGACTTTGGCCCCCACCCCAGCCACAGGTGAGGTGGGGAGGGAAGTGCAGGCAGCAGCTGGAGGCTGGGCCACTGATGACCTTAAGCCTCACACACCCCATGCTGGCCTCAGTTGCCTTGTCCTTGCCTTCTCTGCCTCCTAGGACTGAGGCTGGAGAAGGTCCCTAACCTGCACTGAAAGGCCTACAGAGGTGGGGTAACACAGGGGTTCCTCTGATCAGCTTGTCCCCTGTCCCTCTTCCCAGAGCAAGAGTTGGCCTCACAGGCCCTAGGGGCTCCCCTTCCCGCTGCTCTGGCTCCAATCGGCCCCAGAACTCGTGGAGAACACAGGGTGGCAGTGGGCGGCAGCACCAAGTCCTCATGGAAATCCAGCTCAGCAAGGTAAGGTTTGTGTGGTTATGGGGGCTACATGTCCCAGTGAGCACAGCAAGGGGGAGAGCCCAAGGCCCATTGGGTTTTGGTATAGTGAGGCAGGAGCCCCTGAGGTCCGGGGGCCCTGTTCACCTGGCACAGGTGGTGGGTGGTAATAAAGGGCCAGGTACTGTAGGCACTGGGTGGCAGGGAGAACTGCCGATTTGGGTTCACCTCTCATGTGACTGGATGGAGTCCTGCAGTGAGGGGGTTTCAGCCTGAGAAGTCGCACAGAGGGCCCTACTTTCTGAAAGTGTTCAAGGCCAGTGCTGGGCTGCCTGAGAAACTGCTGGGGACAGGCGACTGCACGTGGGGCTGTTGGGAGCAGTAAGGGACAGCTCTGAAGCAGGTCTTAGGGGTTGAGACCTGGCAGGAGCCAGCAGCTTCCCAGGAGGAGAGGGAGGGAGGGATCCCTGCAGAGGGCGCACAGGGCAAAGGCCTGAGGATGACACAGAGCCATACTGAGCAGGGGCAAGGGCGGGATTGCAGGGAGATCAGGGCCTGCTAGGCCAGGACTGGGAGTGTTTGGAGTGTTCAGGGAGGGGTGTGGAGATAGGGCACCCTGGATGAGGACAGGGTAGAACTTCTGGCCACAGCAGGCTGGGGCCATTTAAGGTGAGGCAGTGGCGTGGAAATGGGGGCTGGTAGATGTAGGGGACAGGTCCAGTTCAGTGTGGGCAAGTGGAGTTTGATGGGGGTGAGACAGCCACATAGAGAGGTTGAGGCAGCAGCCAGATGTGGACTGGGGCAGGGACAGGATGAGGAAAGTTGGGCCTTCCTCCCCGTGGCCCTGTGGCCACTTCAGGCCTCACATGTGGTGCCCTACAGGTGAGCTTCCAGCATGAGGTGTACCCAGAAGAGCCAGCAGCTGACCCTGCTCCAGGTCAGGAGGTGGAGGAGCGGCCGCTGTCTCGCCAGGTGCTCATCGTGCAGGAGCTGGAGATCCGAGACCGGCTTGCCTCCTCCCAGATCAACAAGTTCCTGCATTTGCACACTAGTGAGCGGCTGCCTAGGCGCACCCACTCCAACATGGTGCGCGAGGGGTCCAGGGTTCCACACATGCTCATGTGGGTGGGGGGCATCGCTGGGCTGGGCACCCACAGCTGGCCCTCTGCCCTCAGCTCACCATCAAAGCGCTGCACGTAGCTCCCACCACCAACCTGGGCGGCCCCGAGTGCTGTCTGCGCATCTCGCTGATGCCTCTGCGGCTCAATGTGGACCAGGCAAGTTGGCAGGGGGTTGTAGAGCATGTGTGACACACATGCCAGCCCCAGGCCTCTTGACCCTGCTCCTGCAATTTTTCCTGCAGGATGCTCTCTTTTTCCTCAAGGACTTCTTCACTAGCCTAGTGGCTGGCATCAACCCAGTGGTCCCAGGGGAGACCTCGGAGGGTGAGAAGCTGCGCCAGGGCAGGGAGGTCAGGCACTCAGCCAGCCCTGGGCCTGTCTCTAATCTGACACCTCTCCCCAGCTCGCCCTGAGACCCGGGGCCGGCCGGGCAGCCCCCAGGGCCGGCCAGGCAGTCCCCAGGAAGGAGAACCCAAGAGCATGGAGATGAGCGACTCACGGGAGGGTCCCAGTGGTGGACACAGCTCTGCTGAACAGCAGCCCATCTACTTTAGGTAGGAATGAGGGTTAGGGGCCAGGGCTGGGGCACAGGTAACGAGGTCCACGACCAAAAGTTCTTTGTCCCTGCCCCTGCCAGGGAGTTCCGCTTCACGTCTGAGGTGCCCATCTGGCTGGATTACCATGGCAAGCACGTCTCCATGGACCAGGTGGTAAGCTTCAGGCTAACCTCTGTGGCTCCCAGTTGGATGAGGCTGTGGCCATTTCTTTCTGGGCACAGGGCTTTCCCTGGTCTCCAGGTCCCATCACAGATCCAAATCCCTTGATCCACAGGGCACCTTCGCAGGCCTCCTCATCGGCCTGGCCCAGCTCAACTGCTCTGAGCTGAAGCTAAAGCGTCTCTGTTGCCGGCACGGGTAAGTCCCCCACGCCCTGCGTCTGCACAGCCCTGACCTTCCCTTTGCTCTGCTTCTCACTGGTTTTGTGACCAAGTCATCAGCTCCTCCAGGGCCTCATTTTCCCCTCTGTAAAAGGGGCACAGTCACTGCCCTATACACAGCCAGGTGAGACTGGAGCATTGGGTGCCCTAGCACTTGCCACACAGGTGCTCAGTTCTCCTGGTCCCTACCTCTCCTTGTCAGGCCTTACCCCACCTCCCTTCTCTTTGCTCCCTCCCAGGTTACTGGGTGTGGACAAAGTCCTGGGCTATGCTCTCAATGAGTGGCTGCAGGACATCCGCAAGAACCAGCTGCCTGGTCTGCTGGGAGGCATCGGACCCATGCATTCTGTCGTCCAGCTCTGTGAGTGCATTTGAAAGCTCTTGAAACTCCCATTCCACTTGGACCATCTAGAAACTGCCACTGGGGAAGGAGGCAGATGGGCCAGGCACGGTGAGTAGGAGTAGGGCAGCTTCTGGCATCTGACAGCCCTATCCCTCTGTTCAGTCCAAGGGTTCCGAGACCTGCTGTGGTTGCCCATTGAGCAGTACAGGAAGGATGGGCGTATCATGCGGGGGCTGCAGCGTGGGGCCGCCTCCTTTGGCTCATCTACAGCCTCCGCTGCCCTGGAACTCAGCAACAGACTGGTCCAGGCAATCCAGGTGAGGGCACAGAGAAACTGAGGCCCAGTGAGCTCTGTTCTTAGAAGTGCCACCAGAGGGCCCCACCCCAGCCAGCTGTAGTGGAGGGAGGAGCTCCCACTGGGGAGATTGTGGCTCTGACCCCTGGGGTCAGAGGGATAGGCACTGTGGCCTCATCGTCCCCCTGCGTGGTGGCTCCCAATGGCCAGGGGCTCTCCCTAGAAGGCACAGCTCAGTAGTCTCAGGCAAGCTGCATTGGTGGCAGCCAGGAAGAGCCCACCAAGGTGTGGGCATCAGCAGGAAGAAGGGTGGGAGTTGAGACAGTAGGAAAGTCCTCTTGAGCTGCCTAGGTGGTAGAGTTGGGAAGGTGGAAGAACATGAGTGAGGTCGAGGGATACCAAGTCCCTGCTAGTGAGGCCTAGGGAGGGCACAGATGCCCTGCTCATCTCCTTATTCAGCTCTCCATGTCCTTCAGGCTACAGCTGAGACGGTTTATGACATCCTGTCCCCGGCTGCGCCTGTCTCTCGCTCACTACAGGACAAGCGCTCTGCACGAAGACTGCGCAAGGGCCAGCAGCCCGCTGACCTCCGAGAGGGCGTGGCCAAGGCCTATGACACTGTGCGGGAGGTGAGGGCCCCAGCCCTCCTCCTATACTTACCTTGCACCCCTGCTTAGACCTCAGCACTGACCTCTGACCTCCACAGGGCATCCTGGACACGGCTCAGACCATCTGTGATGTGGCGTCACGAGGCCATGAACAGAAGGGGCTGACAGGTGCCGTGGGAGGTGTGATCCGCCAGCTGCCCCCAACTGTGGTAAAGCCACTCATTGTGGCCTCTGAGGCCACATCCAACCTGCTCGGAGGGATGCGCAACCAGATCCTGCCCGATGCCCACAAGGACCATGCCCTCAAGTGGCGCTCAGAGGAGGCCCAAGACTGAGCAGAGCTCCAGGACCACCATGCTGGCCCACCCCAGGGCTGCACCCGCTCTCTGCCTCCTAAGAGCTGCAGCCCATGGGGGCCAGATGCAGGCCCTGTGGGACGGCCACTGTGAAGGACGCTGCTCGTTGCCAATCGGTCATGAGAGAGGGACCCGCTGCCTGGGGCCTTGGCCCTGTCTGCACTTTTCTTCTGGGGCAAAGAACTCTGCCCTCCCTGCCACAGGCCCCACAGCTGCCTCAACCCAGGATGGAGGATTTTGGACCCTCAGGCCCAACCCTACTCAGCCAAGTGTCTGTCTATCTTTTGGGGAGTTAGGGACAGACACTGTGAGGGTTGGGGTGTTATTTTTAAACTCTGTGAGCGTGTGGGTCAGTGTCTGCATGAAGTGGAATAAACTGCCCACCACCAGCCCCTCTCTTAAGTCCTGTATGCCTGTGCCCAGCACCTCCCTGTCACCACCTGGACACAGAACACCGCCCCAGCCTCCTGCCCACACCCCCTCCTTCCTTTTTGCTCTGGGCTTCACCCTGCCACCATCCCAAGGGACTGTCACCCAGGTCCCACCTCTGAGTAGCAGAAGCTAAATGAATCTCACCCTTAGCCCTTGGAGCTGCCTCACCAGCCGTTGCTTGCTGAATCCTTGAGACCATAGGGTCCCTGTCGGCCTCTGCCCTTGTGCATCTGGAGGCTGCACCCTGGGTCTTTGAGCCTCAGTTTCCTGGTGTTCCCTGCCAGCTAATGAGGGTCAGAACTGTCAGAGGCTGAGCCCTGGGGTGCGTGTACCATCCCTAGCAGAACTCTTTGGGATGATGGGGCTTAGAGGTGCTGGTGTCAGAAGATCCTGATTGGTCCTTGCCCAGAGGGCCCCATGGGGTCAGGAAAACTCACCCCCACATCAATCACATCTTGTTTCCTGTGAACAAAAGAGGGAGCTCACCTACCTACCAAATTGTACCAGTCTGCAGACGTGAGTGGTCCCCTGGGGCAATGCCCAGGTTAGGAGAGAATCCAAGCCTTGCTGTCCCCCTCTGTAGAGCTCCGAAGCTAACCAACCACCCACACTACTGGGTGTTGTGCCTCTGTAGCTTCCTCTAGACCCCACCCCTGCAGATGGGAAGCTACATGAGGAAGAGCTGGGTACAGTGAACAGGGCAGAAGTTTCATTCTGGTGGACCTTAGGTCCTGGCTGCCCATGGCGAGGGACATAGACCAAGAAGGGGGGACAGCCAATGTATGATGCCACCAGGGGAGGCAGGTGGGGCCCAGTCTGATGCTTTCTGGGCCCGCCCAGCTGCCCGGGCACAGTCCAGCTTTCCTGCCCTTTGAACTGTGACCAGTATTGATGGCCAGGGCTAATGATTAACTGCCAACAGGGGCTGGGCCAACGGCTCAAAAGGTGCTGGGCCCAGGGTATCCCCACTTCCTCCTTGTACCCTGAGGCCAGCCAAGTACCCAGGTAAGAGACGTCTGGGCACTTTGCAGCCCCTGTGCCCTGAATGCTCCAGGGCACAGGTATCTTCCCTCAGACCCACCAGCCTTTCTGAGTGAGAAAGGACAGGACATGGGTGACCCTGGGCCAGCCCTTTTCTGTGCCTCCATTTCTACCTAGGGATAAGGGAACCACAGTGTCAGCTCTGAAGGCTGCCTAGTATTGTGGGCCCAGGACTCCTGATCGACTGGCGTGTCCACTAGCACCCCACGGGGCAGGAGATCAGTCCTGCCCAAGCCCTGGGAGGACTGCTGGGCTTGGGGTATGTCTGATTCCAGCTCTGGCATCTTTTCACTTGGAAGTGGGTCTTGACATGTAGTCCAGAGCAGTCTTGAGCTAGCTATGCTCTCCTGGCTGGCCTTGAGCCCACAATCCTACTGCCTTAGCCTCCTGAGCACTGGGATCACTGGCATGTGCCTCCACACCCAGCTTGGCCTCTTCGTTCCCATGCCACCTCCCTACAGGGGGAAGGAATTCTGCCCAAGTGTCCCCATCTTACCTTAATTGCATACCAGGAGTGAGGCAATACTCAAGCCCCAAGGGTCTGCACTGTGACTGCGTAGCTTCTGCCTCCCTGGGCCTTTCCCACCCCTTTCAGAGGGGGCTATTGCCCATGCCCAGCAGCATAGCTGCCTTTTCTTTTGGGAATCTCACTGGGTCTAGGCAGGATACAGCACCTGTCACTGAAGCCTCAGACGAGTCGGTGGAAGGGGATGAGGCACACTTTCAAGAGGTCCACTCCCTTGCCTGTACTCTGCAGAACTAGCTATCAGCTCCTTCCCACAGGACAGTGAGAACAGAGGGGGTAAGGTGGGTGCAACCTGGCAGACCAGGCCAGTGTGAAGACTGGCCTGGGAAGACCTGGTATACACAGGCGGGGCCAGTCGTGACTCTTGAGAGGCTCAGCTCCTTGCTGGAAGAGCTCTGGGTTCAAGATGGGCAATGGCTCACTGCCCTGCCCTTAGCATCCACTGACAGCTGTGGACATCTGTATTTGTTCTCTATTTGCAGTGCTGGAGATAGAAGCCAGGGTATCAGTGCACACTAGGCAAGGACTCTGCCACCAAGTCACCCAGCCTATGGCATCTCTCAAGTCTGTCCTCCTGTCCCCTTTACCTCGCTGTCCATGTTCTCTGTGTCTCTTTCCTGTTCTCTGCCCACCCCTTGCATTCTCCTTTCTCAGAACCCTCTGCCTTAGTCCCTTTCTTGGTCCCTACCCACCCCCTGCCGGCCCTTCTGTCCAGCTTCCTGGACAGTACACCTTCCTGAAGGAGGACATTTGGTGGCACCTTGAATGACAGGTGCCCGTATGTCCCTTTCTGTCCCCCATCCCCATGGCTGCAGCGGGGAGGGTGGGCAAAGGGCAGAGGGTGGAGGCCACAGGAACCCAGCAAGTTCTCACTGAGAAGGAAAAAAGGAAATGAAAGGATATGGGGTGGGAGTGTGTGCAGTGCTGAGTGGGCAAAGGCTGCCCAGGAGCTGTAAAAGGAGCCACTCCTGGCTTTATGAGGCAGCTCTGGGCTTGAGCCTGGACTTCGCCCAGGAGGGTGTTGGCACCAGACAGGGTGCCAGGTGTGGGCCCCCTATGATAAGGAGCCTCAATAAAGAAGACCAAGGACTGGGGGCCAAGAGGACCAGGTGCCAGCAGGCAGCCGCGGGGCACCCCGGGCTCCTGCCTGAGCGTTGGTGCCAGGCCAGCAGGGCCCGACCTCCAATAGGCTCCCACCCCCTGTAACAGCAACTCCATGTGGAAGTGCCCACTGGTTCCAGTGGGGCTGCTGTTATCTGGGGCGGGGGCCCACATCCACAGCCGAGGAGAGGCAGCTGCCACACAGCAGGCCAGCAAGAACTTCATGGTGTCATCCTTGGCCCAGGATGGCAAAGGGTGGTGGGCTGCAGAGACCGAGTGCACAGGGCTCTGACCTATGAATTGACAGCCAGTGCTCTTGTCTCCCCTCTGGCTGCCAATTCCATAGGTCACAGGTATGTTCGCCTCAATGTCAGCCGCTGGGACCCACAAGGGCGGGGGTGGGGTGGGGCAGGGCAGGGGTAGGGTGGGGGTATCCAGGGGTAGGGTGGGGGTATCCAGGGGTCACTGAAGACTTTGTCCCCTGGCACTATACTTAAGGCCCTCTCTCCCTACCCTTCCATCTCTCCTTTGGTGAGCCTAACCTGCCTCTGGGCCCAGCCTGTGCTGTTCCCTCTGCCCCACACACTTCCCTGCATTGTTCCCAGGCTCCCTATCGTTACATCCCAGCCAGGAAGGCTCTTTTTTGCATGTTTTGTTTTGAGACAGAGTCTCACTATACAATTCAGGCATACAGTTCAGGCTGGCCTTGAACTTTCCTGTGTAATGGAGGCTGGTCTAGAACTCACCAATATCTTCCCACCTCAGCCTCCCTGAGTGCTGGAATTACAGGCATGTGACACCATGCCTGGCTGTATTATTTTCAGACAGTCTTATTAAATTGTTGCTAAATTGCCCATGCTGGGTTTGAACTCAGGGTCCTCCTCCCTCTCAGCTTCTTACACTTCAGGGTTATAGGCATAAGCCACCATGCCCAGCTTCCAGGAATCCCTGGTGTACTTGATCTTCAAGCCCACCTGGGCACCCCAAGTTCCCTGCTTCCTTGAGCCCCTCAGGGAGGCCAGTACAGTTTGGACTTGTGCTTCCATTGTCCCCACCACCTTGAACTGGGCCCCCACCTGGAAGGGCCAAACATGTGCTCCAGGAGCAGCATTTGCTAAGCAGATCGCCAGCCTGGCTTCTGCCACAGGAAGCAACCCCTCCTCATCTTCAGTGTGGCCTTGAAGGGCAGGCTTTGTCAGATACCCCTACCAACAGTGGGGACCCAAGCCATCTGTCCCTTTCAGAGGCCGCTTTTACCTCTCCCCTGCCAGCCTCATCTGCCTCGGGTACAGCCTGGACCGCAGGTACTAAGTGACTGGGGAGTAGAGCCAAGGACAGCTCTGCCCACGCCTGCCTTCCTCCATGAAGACAAAATCCCAGCCTTTGCTCATCCAGTGGGGTTCTGGGAAATTTTCCATATTACAGAAAAAGATTTCTGCTGCAAAAAAATAAATAAAATTTTAAACTGCTTAATAACAGGAATGAATGACTGAGCTCTTTCGGTGTGTCAGGCACTAATGCCCATTCCCTGGGGTCTCTCTGGTACCCTTGCAAGAGAACTTGCAAGTCTCCCTCAGGCCTGAGGGCACAGTCCCCCCACCCCCAGGGCTGGGAGCACTGCTAAAGTCACAGAGAAGGTGGGACAGGCTCCCTCCAAGGACCTCCACTGCAGCAAATAACTGACCTCTGCTTGGCCCTTTTCCACAAGTAGCTTTGCTCCCACTGTCCTGCTCCTTGGCATCCCTGGGCCCCATCTACCCTCCTGAGGCCCAGCTCAGAGGCCTCCCAGGCTGCAGAGCCCCCATGATCCCGCAGAGCCTGCACCTCTACCTGCACCCAGCTTTGGGGCCCCTGCCCACACCCTTATCTCTCTCCCTGCAGAGCTAAGGAGTTCTGTGCGCTTATCTTACCCCATGCTAGTCTCAGACTCCTTGAGAGCAAAGTCCACCACTTACTCATCTCCCCAGCCTGGCTCCCTACCCTCCACACAGTAGGTGTTCAGCAAACAGCAGGGCGCTGTACTCTGACCTTTCCACGGGTGTGGGGCCCCAGGCCTGAGGCACTGTTTTGGGGTTAAAGGGGGTAGTGGGCAGTCCCTAGCCCTGGGTTTCCTCTTGCACCTGCCTCTACCCAACTCTTGACCCACAAAGCCTCTCACCTGGGGGCAAAGGCAGACTCAGCTCCCTGCAACCTGCCACTTGACCTTCACTAACCAGTGAGTGGTCTTTCCCAAAAGCCCTGTGGGCCCCTGGCAGTGGTAGTCATTGCCTCTTTGTTTCCTTCAGTCTTAGACACAAATGCACCTTGGAGGACGGGCCACACCTGTGAACAGAGGTGCCTGGGGAGGCACCAGGCCCTGTGG